AAACTATGGTAAAAAAATGATTTTAATCTGCATAATTTAAATCGGTAACTATTGGTTGGATAAAAACATCTTGAAACTTTGTTTCGTGTACTTGTATTTTAATATTATGCATAACAGAGCGGGATAAATGTTTGGTGAGACACGTACATACCATATTTTTTTTTTATACATTTACGGTGCAAGGTATTTTTTTTTTTTTTTTTATATATCCCGTATACGACGACGAAGACGGTGGAAAAACGACGTATAGTAATAATATTTTTTCCCCTCCCGATCGACCAACGCGTATAATATATTATAATATTCTCCGAATATATTGATAAATCACCACCGTGGTTATGTTATATATTATATTATTCATCGTTGGTCGCGGGCGTCGTCGTCTCCGGAAACCCGTACACGGGCGCCGTATTAACGTCTATTATATACACACTCACGAATACATATTATATAATATTATATAATACACACACACTTATATTATATACATATATGTATACATTATACATGCGTATTATTTGCACGTGAAATACCCGTACGGAGCATTCGTATGCATAATACGATGGGAGGGGCGTGCCATCGTTGGAGGTTGTGTGGGTAGGTCGCGATGGGGTGGAACGGGGTAGTGTGAAAAGGGTATGTGAGGGACGATTTATCAGCGAGATAGAATTCGAAGCCGAAAACCATTAGAATCAATCAAAAGTATACAGTCGTAGTGTGCGGCGGGAGGCAGTGGAGCACAGGAGTGCACACTCGCACACTCGCGTGCAAAACCCTAAGTACGATTTTCGGCGGCAGATAGGTGGTGCGTGTGTGTGGGGGGGGGGGGCAGGTTCGAAAGCGATCAAACACGTCTGCGGGCAAAACTGTCTCGCCGCGAAAACGTCGAGCGATCGGCGGCGCGCGCGCGCGCGCGTTCGTGACGCGACGGCGAGCGGCACACACACACACACACACACACACACACACACACACACACACACACACACACACACACATGCGTACACCCACATGCACACGCGTCCACAGAAATGTTATGCGCGAAGGTGGGCAGGTGTGGGTGGGGACGCGTACGCCCGCACACCGAACTCGAAACGGACGGCCGACAATTATTCATCGCGCGGCGGCGGCGGTTTAAGGGTGTTTCGGGCGCATTTTCGCGTCACCTGTCCCGCCAGCGCTAAACCAAATGTGTTTCTCTTGTCGTTCGCGTTCCGAGTGCATTAACACACACGCACTCGTGCCCGCACGTCGTCACCGCGGGCGTCTCTCCGACCTGTTCCGCCGATCGCGCTCGCTGACGGATAGACGGAATGCCCGTGTGGGCGGCGTGGCGGCGTTGTTATTCGTTCGCCGCGAGTCTGCGACTGTGACAACGGCGGTGGCGTGACGTATTGATTGTTCAATTTTACACACCGCCCGCCCCCGCTCACCCGAACAACATATTGTTATCACATTATACGCCTATAACACGCGGCCAGTCGATGTATAGCAGGCTCCTGATACCTGGTACCTGTGCGCATAACCACGCTTACCTGTGTGTTACGCGTACACGTGTGTTGCGATGACGAACTGTCTCGTTTATGCTCATCATCATTATTGTATTATTGTGCTGTATTTGTATACTCTGCCTCGTAATATGGAGTCATGTCCGTTGTAATTAACGGTTATAAAGACGTCATTACTTGACGGCGGTGGTCATTTTATCATATATCGAGTTGTGGTTTCTCGATCGCATGTTGCTTATTTCATATAATACGAGCATTTAAGGGGTAACAAAGCATTGCTTCCCCCTCAATTGAGTATCACATTTGTCTTGCATACCTATCCCGAGGTTGACTCAGGCGATAGGTGATAAGAAAAGAATTTGTTACTTCATGTTTTTCGATAACACAACGTCATCATATTACACTCTTAATAAGATTTAGATAATACGTAATAATTTTGCAGACGATTGACAACAACTAAAAATATGTGGCTTAAAAATGTGCACTTAAAATGATATGATTATTTATATAAATTAAATATTTAAATTCGCCATCCCTTATAATGTCATTCAAGTTCTGCCTGCCGTCTATGAATGCAATGCAGCTACAATACGGCGATCTGTTACACCTAAATAAAAAAAATAAAAGTTTTTATTCGCTTTATTTTTATAATATAATACTACCCGATTACGAGGATTTAAGAGTAAATGTATTTATATTATACGTTTATTACAAACCGTATACTGATACCATGACGCGCGCTTATTCCTCCTCAATAAGTTGTACTGAAACTTTATGGTGGATGTAAAAAAGACTCGTTTTTCTTGTCTACGGTCTATGGTTAGGTTAAATGCGAGATGAAATTTGATTTCCTCTGTCGAGCACCCCACCAAGCACGTCTGAAAACTTTAAGAACTGTAGATACAAAATCTCTTAGTCTTGTTAAATCGTACCGTATAATAGTATATACCTACCAGTACGCTTATATAAAAATAATATAAATGCACGTAGTCCTTGCCGAATGGTGGTAGAGAAATGGGAAATATATTCTAATATCCAAAACGAAACAGTATGACCGAAAGCCATCATGCTTAAAATTGAATTTTTTTATCACAATTCAACTCGAACAAAATTGAAACTTGTATTTGTGGTTTTATTATTATTTATATTATATATTTAGACACTTACAGTTATTCAGATCATCCTCAACTCGTGTCTGAAAATTAAATAAATTGGAATTTTATTAATATAATTGACTAATTTATCTAAATGCTACACCCGATTTTGTACTATACATTTAACACGCTTCAACCACAATCAAATTAATGAAGAATCGAAATATTTTAGCACATTACTTATACTTCATTTATGGAGTGGGAAATAATTATAGTTTGTGAAACGTCAACCTCCTTTGTGTCGAGCCGTCCAATGCTTGGGGGAATTTGGGACACATTCATTTTTTGATTATAAAAATAATTTACTACCCCTCTTTATGCATTCTATTCGCAGGAAGTAACTTTTGTCCAACTGTGGTTGCAACCATTAATATAATATTGATATGTTTAATGGAATCAAAATACCGTTAATGAATTATAATTCAAAGTGCAAAGTTTGATAACCTGTTATAAAGTTAACATAAATCAAACATGATTAAAATACAATTTTGATATCATTAAAAGTTTTCTCTGAAAAAAAACCAACATCCCTATAAACATGATATTTTGTTTATCATTAACGAACTTGAAATTTTTTATGCCAGTTAGATTTATTGAATGCAGTATTTCTTAATTTTTATCCATCTTAAATTGTAAATATGTCAGTTGAATGATGAATTATTCAAAAAAACTGTAGTCTGGTCAAATTAATATTATAGAGATAATATATGAGTTTACACAATAACTCGAATAAAACTCACAATTTTAACATTGCAATTTGCGTTGCATAAGGTTATTTACTAACCACGATGATAATATAATATAATATCAGATAAAAACGTTGGGCTATCCGACGGGAGGGCCAGGGGTTATTGGTTGACCCAAAGAACGCAGTATAAATTCGAATTTTTTATTCATTGAAATTTTTTTCATTTTTTCTTTTCTCCAAGTCACCTCCTTCGGCGGTTTTGGGTCGCGGACACGTATTCAAAAATCCCTCGAGGGTCGCGAACCGACTATAATTCGCTTTGTACACCGGTCGCCGTTCGACCATCGTCTGGGTCATTGTCTGAAATATTATTTACGCCGGCATAAAACATATAATATAGGTACAAAAATAAAAACCAGCACACACATACCCACAAAACACGTATACGCAAGTATAAAATATATTTCATATAATATACGCTGTTTTGTATGCTATGTCATATTGATGGTATTCTCATAAAATAGTGTTCACGGCGCGGTGTGTGTGTGTGTGCGTTGTGTGTGTTTAATCTTGCGTTAAAAATATCGTCGAGCTCATCGGTGGTCGGGTGCATGTACGAGAGGCGGTGTAAGAGCGCGCGTTTTGTGAGCGCATGGTGTGTGATGCGTGTGCGTGTGTGTGTGTGTGTGTGTGTGTGTGTGTGTGTGTGTGTGTTAGTGTGTGTGTGTGTGCGTGTGTTTGGGGGTGCGCGTTTATAGGGAAATTTCCTGGTCACAATCGATTTGCAAAAAAAAAAAAGTAAATAAATATATGTGTGTTTATAATATATAACTCTCCCCCGGCGATCAAATCCACCTCGTCGCCAATTTTTTTCTCTCCACGCGAAAAAAAAAATATATATGTATAAATAGGGTCGTCGGGTTAGTAGACGGAAAATGTATATATGTATAATAAATAATATAAAGTGGAAAAATTCCGCATCGGTACGCACGCCGATGAGGCATTGAGATCGCTCCGCCGAGCGTACGGATTTCCCGTCCCGTTCGATTCCCGGTGTGATGTGATCTAAATAATAAACGGGTCCACATTACCATAATATTGACCTAGGTGGTGGCGGCGGCGGCGGCAGGAGGGATGATATTCACTCGGTGCCGTGTACGCAATATGTGTGTATGTCGAGCTGTATGTGATGTAAATAATATTATTATATATAAAATATATTCAACGGGGGTGGTTCAGCAGCACGCGTTTTCCCGTCGAGGGTTGTCGGATGGTGTAGGACGGTGGTCGGGCATAGGCCGAGGATCGAAAAAATAAGAATAATAAAAAAACCAAAGTATTAGGTCAATCATTGTTATTATTATTATCGTTATTATTATTTATAATTCATTATACGACGTGTGCAATAAATATCATAGACATATCTATATAGGTACGAGCATACTACTACTACTACTACTACTACTACTACTATACGCATACTATCTTAATGATTTACGTTGTAATAGTTGTACGACTTTCCGGCCCAAACACAAAAATAAATTGTTTATTTTGTTTTTTGTTTTCTTTTTATTTATATGAATAAAAATCTTTAAATAAAACCATTGTTGTGAGCATAGTTGTGATTGTACGTTATAACTGGGGTTTCAGCCGTGTTGCTGTAGCTGATCAGACCGCTGGAAACGAAAACGAGCTGAAATATGTGTCAAGGTAGGAAACATATTAACGGAATAGGTTTTTGGAGTGTGTTTTGTGATTTTAACGACACCGGGAAATTCAATTAGCTATACCATTAATATGAAAAAAAAAAATATATATACAAAACCGATCATTTTACATACCAAACATAATCATTTATATTATAAACGGATAAAAATTATAATATATTATATGCGTGTATATACACATCATAATTCACCTTGTGTGTATATAAATGTATTTGTTATTTATATTCGTATCGATTTTAGCTAATCGAATATTCCTGGCGTTTTGTTTATAGTTAATTTTTGTATGTTTTTAAAAAAAATTATTTTTATTTTATTATTTTCATTGTTAATATTTAGTTGGGATGTTTTGATTTATTGGTGTACCGTTGCGTATTTAGAATATTGATTGTTTTATCTTCGACCTGCAGATTGATATCGCTTTTGATGTATTTGATTTTAATTTTAAAAAAAAAAATGGCTGCCACATTGATTTGTTTTTTGTTTTTTGTTTTATTTTTTTTTGTTTAAAGTGTTACCAAATTACCAGTTTTTCTAATACATTTTTTTTACGTTGTACTTGGCGTAAAAGTAACATATATAATATATACTTCGCGTGATCTATATTCTTGCCAGTGCATGTTTGTTTTTTTTTTTTAATTATTGCCGATTCGTCTAAATTTAATTCTTGTAATATTTGGCTTGTGCACTAAGGGGTTTCCAAAAAATAAAATAAAACAGTTCATCTAAGAGTGATGTTTTTGATGTAAATATTCTTAGAACAAAACTTTGACCACTACTACTTTGATATTGATTTAGGTATATTATAAAACTCGGAGTTAGAGAGTCGAACGAGAAAATACATGCAGTCATTAGATTATTTATTATTAGTAGTATGTACGGCTGTGACTCTCATGAGTATAATAGTATTTTAAGATCTCTTTGTTAAATGACTTAAGAGACATTCAATGTTTTTAAAATTATTTTTATTTTTTACCATCGTGGGCACAAAAAAAGGGAAAACTTTTATTTTCAATTATTATTTTCACTGCCGACCGCGGTATGTTAGATTCACCATAAATTTAAGAAAAAAATGTACGTCGTCGTCTATACATGTTCACTTTAAGGTTTAAGTATTGTGAAGGTGTTGTTTTAATTTTCTACAGTTATACTACTTAAATATTCTTACATTGGTGCATAAGTCTAATACCTCGATGGGGAGTTCTAATGGTATAAAAGAAAGAAAACACTATAAGCGGATTTTTGTTTATGAATATATACATAAAGGCTATATCAAGGCACATACTTTTGTAGTTGTGATACAGTTCTTTTTTCAATGGAAATTAGTATTAAGTGTCTCGTCATGTCTTGTAGAGTTAAAAATTCAATGACGTTGTTTTCCTTGATTTATTATTAGTATAAGTGTTGTTCCCGTTACTTAAAATTTATAATTCATTCATAAAATATCGTTAGTCTGTTATTCCTTCTGACATTATTCTTTTAAAATCCGCTCATAAAATATTTCATAACCTAGTTTTTAAATTCTACCCCAGATTCTAATATTATTACAGTACTGCTTTATACCGTTTTAATATGTATTTATTGTTACTAAATCTGTTTGATTATTTTTGAAATACCAAACGGGAAATCATTAATAACCCCATTAATTAAAAAATAAATAGATTTAACGTTGACAATTAAATTATTATAATTTCTGTTTCGATCAATTTTGAAAATAAATATTCAAGTTCTGGAATAAATTACTTGTGTCTAATGTAAAAAAAACAACCTTTCCAACTCGACGCAGAAACTAAATTTAAAATTGTACGTATAATACTAAATTTTATCGATATATGTAGACATCATTTGAACGAAAAACATTCAGTGTACGATAATATATTATAACAATTAACAGCACGCCAACACGAAATTACATTTTTGGGAAAGCGCCTCTCGACGACCCTAGCTCCATTTACAATCGCTTTGGTGACGATCATCGTGGATTTTAATTACACAATGTTTTAATACAATATAAATATAATTTAGGTGTATACCTAATTACTATCTATAGAGTCCAAACGGGTTTTAATCATATTCCACGTGGCACTTATCGTAGACCGAAAAAGTCCATTAATATTATATCATGTTGTATATTATAGTGGTATGCGTTATGGTGTTGTACAAGTAACACCTCACCGGACCTCATAAAATGTTGTACGTACATAAACGGTTGGACCCGAAACGATGTACACGCGTATCTAAATAATATTTTAATAATGATATGGTTAGAGCAAAAAAGAAACACTTTTGTGTGTTATAATACATATAGATATATATTACATATTATATAGTATGCGTGTGTGTGTGTACCGCCACACTTGCGTATTATAATAATAATAACAGCGATAAAGTTGATAATAATAATAATAATAGTAATATGATAATATTTTGACCTGGGTTTTTTTGGTTATCACAAGGGTGGACGACAAAGGGGGTCGTATATACATTTTCGTTAACATAATATATTTATACACATATATATTATTATTATATAAGGACGGCCGTTGTTGCCCCCCGAGTGGTGGTGTTCAGACCGATTGGTGGCAAGTAGGAGGGGTACTTAGGGGGCAGGGAGTAAGGAGTAAAAGGGATTTTGCGGCGGTGTTCGAATTTAATACCGCGCCAAGTTACCACGTAATCTAGTTCGGATGCGCGGGAACGGTTTCCGCGACGGTGGTAACGTTTTCACAAATAATACGTTCCATGCTAAAACCGAACATAAATCAACCGTTTCGCCCCGTTTGCTGCAGCTCCTCGCGTGTGTTCTGCCACCGTTGCACAAGTCTCTCGCACCCTCTCGCACCCCCCTTAACCCACGTCCCACTCGCTTCGCCTCTATCCCCTCCCCGAACTACCACAAGGGCTGCATCCTTTCCGCCCCCCTGCGTTCCCTTTTGTGTATGATTTAAGGCCCAAACCCTTTATTATATACGGTTTCGCGTCCTATATATAATGTTATACATCTCGCCGCCGTTTGATTTGCCGCATAGCCCTTTACTTTTTGCACTGACCGCGTACAAGCTCGTACCACGCGCTAAGACCGACAGCGGTCAGTTTTTATGACGACATCCAACTCACGCCCAGTCTGTAACGATGGCCCGTTATTTGGATGGAACACCTCTGCTGCAGCTACAGGATCTGGTGTCCGGCGTCCGCACAGATTTCGCTGTTGTTGTCGTCATCCACAAAACATGATACCCCACCGCCGTCAGCCATAATAGTGGATATATAATGTTGGGTGGATAGGGATGAAAACGGAATGATGATTATTAGAAAATAAATTATAACATTTTGAATTATTGTATACCTACTATCCTATAGGTAACTACTATAAATATGTACCAAGTTTATAAGTTATAGTGGCAGATTATTATTTGATAATATTATATATAAATATACTACATGTATATAAGTATGCAAAGATATTATGTTTTATACATTTAAAAAATAATTGATAGATAATATGATTTCACTTTGAAGACAATACTCGATACATTTAATTTGACCGAACTTATTGTATACAACATTTTCCAAATGTTTATCGATACAAAAAATAATATTTTTCTCATAAATTGTTATTTATGAACATGACTTAACATTCTTAGTAGGTAGCTTAAAAATATAAAAAAAATGTAAAGTAAATGAAGTCATCTAATATTGGTAAAACTAAAAGTATGTACAAGCAGATAACATATTTCTTGGTTTTTTGTATCATTGGCATCCTAAACATATTTTTAACATAGGTATAGCTTAAAAAAATATTTTTGTAGATTGAATAAAGTAAAGAAATAACTCACTTAGTCACGTTAAACATTTTGATCACAACCACTATATTTTGATTTGTAAATATAAACTGCAGTTGAGTATAAGATTCTACAACACTGTGGTTTGTGTTATAAAAATTATTTTAGGAACGTAACATATTAAATCACATTATATTTTACAAGTTTTTTGTTTTAATGGTTATGTTATTTACAAAAATATCAATTACTTTACAAATAATGTAAAGCACATTTTACTTAATTAAATATAATTTTTACCAGTTAAGTTAAATTATTGGTGTTTGGCGATATTAACTAACAATAAATTTACCTTTCTAAAAAATGTTTCCTCGAATAGATTTATAGAAGGAAATAGTTTATGTTTTTCTTGTACCTGACCTATTAACGATTTTACCTATATTGTAACATTTTCAAAACTACTTATTCCATAGAATAATATTTTTGAATTTAATATTCTGGCCACTATTAATATTTTGTGTTGACGTAGAAATAAATTATATTAATATTCTGTTATAACTACATTTAAGCTTGTATTTTATATTATGTATATTGTGTATTTGATATACGTATATACCAATATTACCTGTTGTTGTGAGAATAAACATTTAATATTTCTAATAATAGTATTAAACCATAAAGTAACGTATTATTAAAAAAACTGGTATGGGATCCAAAACAAAACTTTGATAAATTCGTTGAGAATTTTATTTGAATATTAAATGAAGTTTGCTATAGGTATAAGAATCCTGATTTTAGTTACACTAAAGAGTTAATCAAAGGAATGATAGCCCGTAATCACGGTGTGAAAGATTAAATATTCAATGTAAATTACGTGAGGGAATGAATGAATTATGGAAGGTGTTTTAAATTTAATAATATGTAGAATGTAGATGTATGAAATTAAAATAGTTTTCATGTGTATCGTGTGACAAAATATCACAACTGAGATTAACTGGTGTACAAATAAATAATAAAGAGCTGCTGTGTCGTAAGAAAATGTAATGATTAAAATTCAAAGGTGATACAAAGATGTGTAGAGGAAAGAGTTTATACAATTAATACAATATACCATACTATGACATTATGATTTATAGAAAGTGTATGCATAGAAATAATATCAATAGGACTTGATAAAAAATTAGAAATTAATTTAAAACGATAATAATTACAATTAATGACAGAAAATACATGTAAAAAAAAACTAATTATGATTTAATTATTATTACTTAGTAGTGAATATTATACGAAAAATAGTAACTAAAATATAGACAATGAGATACCTGCTCAGAAATATTCAAATATAAGACCTTTAAGAAAGATTGTGTTGTGTAAAAATAAAATGTTTGTGTTGCTATAAATGTGTAAATAATATAAACTATTAAAAATTACAAGTTTGAGTAATTCAATTTATTAAATTCAAAATCTTAGTATCAAACATCAGGCAGCTATGGTTTAGATAATATTTTATGAAAGCGATTGCTATTAAATTTAATTTGCATGGGGTTAAATTGAGGAGGAGAGCTGAAGGGAAAACAAATATTAAATGGATTTTATAGATTTTTTTCCAAAAATGTATGCTACAGACTTTAAAAACCATAATTTTTTTTTCAGGGGATTTGGGTTCGTCACTTTCGCAGATCCGTCCAGCGTGGACAAAGTTCTGGCACAAGGATCACACGAGTTGGACGGCAAAAAAGTAAGTAAACACTCTAGCTGTAACGTTTTTATATTTACCTAATATTTAATATTAAGATTTCAAAGACCCTTGGAAATAAAGATAATACAAGCACAATGTTTTCGAACAATGGAAAATATTTGTTTGAATTTTATGGGTATGAAAGTTAGTTTAATCGATTCATTATTTTGAATGTTCCTTTAAACACGTTGTATCCATTTAAAAATACAATAATATTGTTTTCAACAATTGTTGTACATATATAATATTATATAATATATACATATTTTGTTAATACATCTTGAGTTGAAATAAAAAAAAAATCACATTACTTTAAGATCAAAATCCATCAGATAAAATTTACATTATACATTCTGCGAAAGAACAAAATGAACATTGGTAATCCCATTTTATTTTTTTGAATGCTTTTTTTTTGTACTTGCAAATTGCCTATTTAAAAATACAATATTTTCCCGATTGCTATCTCGGAACGTTTTCATATTCAATATGACAAAATAATGATGTCGATGGAAACAAAAAAATATAATATTAAAATAATTCTATACAAACGGCAATATGTTTTGTTTTCCAATCGTAGTCTCTCGTTTTTTGATTGCGGATTATAGTTAAGCTCGTTTGTTTCCGTTGGTGTACCAAAATCCATAATAGTAAATCAACTATGCATGAGCTAATAACATTATATAAAACGAGCTTATATATTATAATAAAGATCGCCGAGGGAGATAGCAAGACGACGAACATGTTTTGCTTTATTCTCGTGTCACTTTCGCAAAGTATTTATATACTCGTCGGTAGAGCTGGGTTAGCCATTTCGCAGGGAATCGGATTATAACCGCCACCGCATCTCGCCATATATAATATAATAGAATAAGATTCGTAAACCCAAAATCGAGACTGTAATCCGAGTTCGATATAAATGACGTTTATACCCACGTAAACGGGGCTGATCACGACTTTGCGTTTTTAAATAAAACGTGAGTATATTATGTATCACGCGACCACACGGCCAGCCGCATTGAAATATTAATTTTTTGGATATCGAACAATGTGAAGCGGAAAAAAAAATCATCAAATGAGAATGTGAAAGAAAACCGAGTAGGTGTGCAGGGTTAATATAATACACTGTACGTAGCCATGTGCGAAAACTATATATTGTGTTATATACCATCTCAGCGTTACTTCGATTGCAATTCAATAGCCCTGGTGGTAAGGGTGGGTGATTCTTGCTGGCTACCCCTCGTCGGGTCATGTGGGCTGTAGTGATGGACCAGTTGATGTGGGGCTGTTGTGGGGGGGGGGGTAGAGAGTGAGATTAGCTCGTTTAAGTAAAGACCCGGCTGGCAGCCGCCACTCTGGCACTGCGTTCGGGTATACAATACTACGCGCGTCTCTTCGTCGCCGTGAGAATTTCTTCACGTGACGGACTGGCGACTTTCCGGCCGGTTTGATCCCCTAACCCACCACACCCGCCAACCGTTTCTTTCGTCGCTGTCATATATTATATTCTTCTTCTTCCTTTTCTTTTTCTTCTTATTCTCCTCCCCCTTCTCCTCCTCCCGATATAGTTTCAGCGATTACCACCCCTACCGATCTATGTCACCCCGCACGCGTTTTCGATCGTCGTTCCTCACTGTTTAGTTTTGGAAGCTGCTACTTGTCTTTTTTTTTACTCACGAGTGTTTTCACTTCACAGTCTATTACCAGCGTGGAATAATACCATTATTAAATGCCACCGAAGATTTTAATACGTTCGAGTACACAGCCGTCGAAGCGCCTCGTCGGCGATTCTTTAAAACCTACCCCTAGTGATTATTCATCTGACGAGTGCGTTGTTATGACTGATTTATTAAGAGCCTTTAAAAAAAAAATAATGGTAATAAAATGAAGAAATATCGATGTATTTTTAAGTACTATAAAGTCATCTCTGGTTTGTATTTAGAATGCACAAAATATTATCTGGTATGATTTACGTTTCCTCACAAAAGAAGTAACTCATGGCTTTTTGCTGTATTTCTATATAAATCAATAATAAATATAGCTACACACAGTACTTACTATTCATTTTAAATTATAAATTATCTATTCAGAAGATTTTCAACTGTATTGTATATGCACTGAGATCGGTTTAATTAATGTTATCAAAGAAGCCTTTCTAAAACTTTTGTGGGAATTGTGAACTTTGTATATGCTACGTTTGAACTGTGCTATCAACCATGGGTTGACGGTTCATTTGTAATCAGTGGCAAACCTGAAATGGACACAAATAGATTAATTTTAAGGAGACCTTGTAGCATATCCAACTGATTGAATGCTGTAGACAGAAAACATGTATATAGTGAAATTTATAGAATAGTATAAGGTATATATAATAATATATTGGAATCGGCTTTTTTTAGAACCCAATAACAAGAATATACATTTTCTATATTTTTTCTTTTTTATATATAATATACTACTAGCTAGTAGTACTTAGTACACAATCTTCATAATTACAGCAAAATCAATTTATTTAATTTTTAATTACAAAAACATTCACAGTAAACTTTGACTAAAATCATTGAAATATGTTTTTAATAAATATAATATGATAGAAATGAAAAAATTATATTTTTGAAATATAAAAATTTTTATAAGTCCAATTACAAGGATTCGACATTTCTGTAGAAACCCGGTACATATTTTATTGAAATGAATACATATTGAATAAAGAATTTCTAACGCCTTCGGAGAACCGAATATAATTGGGAATTGGAGTAATTAGAGCCGAATGACTAAACCAGTTACATACTAAGGTCTAACACAATAGCAAAAGAAGTACTGAATTGGAAACCACGAGGAAAGAGACCCTTAAAAAGGCCTATACAACGATGGTATTATAAAGTATCAAAGGATATAATAACGCTAGGAGTGGAAAACTAAAGGGAGATAATACTGATTATATATATAAGGAATGTGTTTTGGAGCAATGGTCCTAAAATTCTCTAGAGCTGAAAAAAAATAAATATTTATAAAATTTAAGTAATTATAGATTGCAAGTTTTACTTACTAAGATATTTGCGATAATTTATTAATGTTATCAATTCAATCGATTTTTCAACAATTGATTTAACACATTTTTATTTCCATATAATTAACACACTTTAAATTTTACGAGGTTATATCTTATATCAGTTTTTTATAGGTTATAATCTAGTATTAAAAAGTGTAAAATAAACAGCTGTTTTTAAAAACACATACACACTTTCAATAACTTTATGGGTTTTTTTTTGTTATGGACAAATTAATTTTGATTAATGCAATAGTATGTCAATAGTTGTCAATTATACAGAACTGATAAATTTTGTATTTTGGTTTGAGTAACTTTATTATTACACAGACAGCAATTTACAGTAATTCATAATAATATGTTAGAGGACAATTCGTGATTGGATTAAGTAGTGGTATTTTTGAAATCTTAATGGTGCAGTGTATATATGTGAGACGATTAACGGGTAGTTGGAAGAGGCAAGTAAGGGGTGGGTAGAATCTGCCGCCGTTGTACGATTGCAGTGGGTGACAAAACGTTAGACGTTCGTAAATCTAATTGGAGCTGGTGTGCAACTCCGTCCACCGATGGACGAAATGGTGGATGCGTGGAACGAGCAGATTGATGCGGATGAGAAAAGAAGAAAAGTCAAAGTGGCGAGATAGAGGGTAGAAAAAAATATAGGGTCTTACCAGAGTCCGAGAGATCAATTAATTAAAAGAGACACACGGTGACTGTGACGGCAGTGGAAAAAAAGAGCAGCGGTGGCGCGAGGAGCTGCAGGTTTTCGAGAGATAGTAATTCATTTGGTATTTCTCAGCGTGGACGGGAAGGACATAAGAGATTATCCTATACGGTTGTGTGGCCGTATGACGTTGTTCGGAGTCACGGTCGATTATTACCACACTGGCGGTAGTGGTAGTGATGCCACCCCACCGCAGAAACGACAGTTTGATTAAAAAACCCACCCCCCACCCTTAGATACATGAACTTTTGTAGACTAACCTTTACTTTTTTCCTATCCCCTCGACCTCCGTTCAGGTTCTATACCCACCCAGTCGCCAAATGTCACACAATCTGGTGCCGGCAATGAGAAAAATGACATTTGTTATCAATAACTACCTACATTATACCTACCTACGTTCCCCTTTCGTTAATAATAACTTATTATATCCAATACTGACTTTTATATCGGAAATTGATTTCGTTTCACCACCATTGGGCATTTAGACTCGGCAGTCACGTTTTCATTTGTGAATATTGCAAGGAGAAAAAAAATATTGACTAACTCAACGTCATTTTACCACTGTATTTTATTATTATTATTATTATTATCTTTTTAATTAAATACAAATCCATTTCAAGATAAAATAAATATAAAAAACAGACTATTTCTTTCCAACTGTTCATCATGGACATTGATAACGCCTGAGTAAACTACCAAGTTTTTACCCTTTACAATTATGTAAGGAATTTCAAAGTGTTTTTTCCGCTCCTATTTTCAAATCGAATAGTATCATGGTTGTCTTGATTCTCAGTAGTCGGTAATCGGTATTATTCCTACGGTATTGTTTCAACTTAAATTATTAACATTTATAGTTTAAATATTCAAACTTTGAAGTTATTGAAACAATTGTTATCGTTAAACTTATTTCCAATTATAAAAAAAAATGAAAAAAAAATATATCATAGTATAAATCAAGGTAATTATGATTACAGCGCCTTTTCTATTAGTTTATAATCGGCGCTATAACGATTTTCGGAGGAGTGGTAAAGATTTCAGCAAATTACGAAAGTAAAGGTCTTTTAATAACTATAACCGATTGTTATTTTTTATTGTTGATTGTTGATAATATGGAAATGACGTGACTGAAAGCCGTACAGTTTAAAAATAACATTTACGGTTTCGTGTAACTTTACAATGACCACCTTGGAGATTTGTGTTGTACATACGAATTTGTCGTTTGAATCTGAT